TTTGTATTTTTAGTAGAGTCAGAGTTTCACCATGTTGGCCAGGCTGGTCTTGAACTCCTGACCTGAGGTAATCCACCATGCCCAGCTGCTTCTGCTCTTTTTAAAGTTGATTCATACAAAATAATATATGTAGCATTTATAAGATTGAGTTACATCTATTTCTTCTTTCAATAAGTTGAATTGTAGTAATTTAGAGTAATTTAGTTAAAAAAAAAACACATGTATTATAAATTTTTATAAGTAATTATTAAGCAAAAAGTTCAAGTTTTTAAGAAATGCCTTTCTTAATGAGATAGACCGGGCTCCCTCCCTCTCCTTGATTTATTCATGTCACCATGGAGGAATATCACTTGTTGCCAAAGTAGGAATTCAGTTCTTGTTTTTTGTTTTTGTAAATTTAAGCCCCAGAAATTCTTGCTGACATAAATAAACTATAAAGGAAAGGAATAATGGCTGGGCGCGGTGGCTCACACCTGTAATGCCAGCACTTTGAGAGGCTGAGGTAGGTGGATTACTTCAGGTCGGGAGTTTGAGACCAGCCTGGCCAACCTGGTGAAACCCCGTCTCTACTAAAAATACAAATTATTAGCCGGGCATGGTGGTGTGTGACTGTAATCCCAGCTACTCAGGAGACCGAATCACTTGAACCCAGGAGGCAGAGGTTGAAGTGTGTCGAGATAGTGCCATTGCACTCCAGCCTGGGCAACAGAGGAAAACTCCATCTCAAAAGAAAGCAGGGGAAGGGAAATAAGTTTAGTTATAGCAGAGTTTTTCTCTTTCTTTCCTTCTTCCTCTTTCTTGCTTTCTTATTCTCTTTCCTTTTTTTTGCGATGGAGTTTCATTCTTATTGCTCAGACTAGAGTGCATTGGAGCGATCTCAGCTCACTGCAACCTCCGCCTCTCAGGTTCAAGCGATTCTCCTGCCTCAGCCTCTGTAGTAGCTGGGTTTACAGGCATGCACCACCACACCCTGCTAATTTTGTGTTTTTATTAGAGACCTGACCATGTTGGTCAGGCTGGTCTCGAACTCCTGACCTTAGGTGATCCGCCCACCTTAGCCTCCCAGAGTGCTGGGATTACAGGTGTGAGTCATTGTGCCTGGTCAGCAATGTTATTCAATATTTTGAAACGGGAGTTGTGTGCCAAAAAAAATCACATTTATCATCAAAAATTAATTTACTTATCACTTGACAACTTGGTTAGGTAGTCTTTCAATTTCATTGAAAACTAAGAATTAGAAACCATTCGACTTGCAAAAGGATTTATCTAGTCATTAGTCTTCACATTCAGTAAGAAATACTAACAAAAAGTCTTTTGCAAGTCTTATAAATTAGTTATCGATTATGCCTGTTATTCTTTCATTTAGAGGTACCTTGTTTCTTTCTTTGTTGTTTCCTATCCCCACCCTCACCCCGGAGACAGAGTCTCAGGCTGAATTTATTTTTTATTTTTTGTAAAGATGAAGTCTTGCTCTGTATCCCAGGCTGGAGTGCAGTGGCTATCTATGGGTGCTGTCATGGTGCACTACAGCCTTGAACTCCTGGGCTTATCTCCCTAGGAGCTGGGTCTACAGACGTGTGCCAATGCAACTGGCTTTCACACTTTTAATTAGTGTGTTTTTGCTGTTCTCTGTTAGACTATGAGCAACTTAAGAGCAAGACCAAGAGTCTGGCATTATACCTGCTGTGTTTGGCAGTCATCAAGCATCTGTTGAACGTGTGTTAATGGTATTATAGAAGGAACTCTGAAGTGAGAGTCAGAAGCTGTATGGCTTTGGGCTAGGACCAGTTCGGAAGTGGAGTTGGTAGAGGTAAGGCAGTGGGCCCTGATTTGCATACCCTTGTTTAGGGCATCATTGATCACACTAGGACGGAGCAACCTAAATGTCCATTACAGATGAATGGATAAAGAAAATGTGGCATATCCATACAATACAATATTATTCAGCCTTAAAAAGGAAGGAAATATTGTCATATGCTACAACATGATCTTTGAGGACATTATGCTAAGTGAAATAAGACAGTCACAGGCCAGGCACAGTGGCTCATGCCTATAATCCCACCACTTTGGGAGGCCAAGGTGGGTGGATCACGAGGTCAAGAGATCGAGACCATCCTGGTCAACATGGTGAAACCCTGTCTCTACTAAAAATACAAAAATTAGCGGGGCATGGTGGTGCGTGCCTGTAGTCCCAGCTACTTGGGAGGTTCAGGCAGGAGAATTGCTTGAACCCAGGAGGCGGAGGTTGTGGTAAGCCGAGATCACGCCATTGCACTCCAGCCTGGGTAACAAGAGCAAAACTGTCTCCAAAAAAAAAAAAAAAAAAACAAAACAGTCACAGAAGGATAAATATTGTATTGCTCTACTTATTTGAGATGTCTAAAATAATCAAACTCATAGAAACAGAAAATAGAACGGTAGTTGTCATGGGCTGGGGAAAGAGAGAGGGGAGTTGTTCATGGATATAATTAGATGAGTAAGTTCTAGTTACGCAACAGTGTGCATTTAGTTAACACCATCGTATACTTTGTTTTTTTGTTTTTTTTCATTTATTTTATTTTTTTAGTTTTTTGAGACGGAGTCTCACCCTGTCGCCCAGACTGGAGTACAATGGCACCATCTTGGCTCACTGCAGCCTCTGCCTTCAGGCTCAAGTGATTCTTGTGCCTCAGCCTTCTGAGAAGCTGGGACTACAGGTGCCCACCACCATACCTGGGTAATTTTTATATTTTTAAGTGGAGACAGGGTTTTGCCTTGTTGGCCAGGTAGGTCTCAAGCTCCTGGCCTCAAGTGATCTGCCTACCTCAGTCTCTCAAAGTGCTGGGATTACAAGCACGAGCCACTGTACCCAGTCGACTATTGTATACTTTAAAAAAGATGGTAAATTTTGTGTTCTGTGCTTCAGACCACAGTTTTTGAAAAATTAGACAGAAACTGATTTTATAAACCACATGTCCTAAAAATGTTCTAACAACATTATGAGAGTTGTTTAATAAAGTCATATCAATAAAATTAGAGAGACTAGAGTCATTTGAAAGTCAAAAAAAATGCGTCTGATTATCTGCCTAAATATGAAACAAGGAACCATTTTTGTGTGCATATATTTTTATTGCTGTATATTTCTTTATTGCAGTATAGTTAAGAATAAAGCCTGTTAATCTAAACAAAACAACACAGTAGGCCTTGTGTCTCAAGGAAAGAGGGCGCTGCTAATGAGCAGAAAGAAGATAGTACCATATTTGTGTGCAATAGGGATGAAGTTAATTATGGGGTAGGAGTCCAAAAACCTGAATGCAGTGACAATTTTGACCTAAAGTAATTGTATGAGTTTAGGCCTACTTATTCTCTCTGCTCCAATTTTCTCATCTTTAAAAGGTGTTAAGGAAGAAATTTTGAGACGCCAAAGATTAAAAGGTAAGTGGAAAAATTTTGCTCCAAGCAGGGAACCCAATCCAGCACACTCTAGGCTTTGAGGGATGTAGGCCGGGGAGGAAAAATAGGGTGAGTCTTATAATACTGGAAGATCACAAATTATCTCTTTCCTTACTAGAAAAGCAGAACATTGCTGATTAGCTATGCTAGCAAGACTTTTTTATTAAGGAAGCTCTGGGCTGGCTGGAGGTGGTCTGTTGTGTACCTGGGGCAACCATCTTGGGATTCCGATTTTAGCTGCCTCTGTTACTTATGTGATGTGCCCGTCTTGGGATCCTAGAATCCAGTTGCATCTGTGTTGATGTGTGAGTAGCCTAGCTAGGCAAGTGAAAAGAAAATTTAACAAAGAGCAGACTCTAACTCACACCTGTAATCCCAGCACATTGGGAGGCCAGTATGAGAGGGTTGCTTGAGCCCAGGAGTTCAAGACCAGTCTGACCAACATAGCAGGACCCCATCTCTACAAAAATTTTAAAAATTAGCCCAGCATGGTAGTGTGTGCCTATAGTCACAACTACTTGGGAGGCTAAAGGGTGAGGATCAGTCATTTAATCCTCACAGCAATCTCACATGGTTGATATTATACCTAATTTTACACACAAGGAAACCGAGACTCATAGATTAACCTGGCAAGGTTGCCAGTTAAGTGGCAGAACCAAAATTCAAACCAAAGTCAATACCAAAGCTCTTTATCTTTCCCTGTGCCATTTAGCTTCTTGCGGATGAGTTCATATATGGGACAAAACTTTAAACAAATTAGAAGGGTTTTTGTTTGTTTTTGAGACAGGGTCTTGCTTCTTTGCCCAAGCTGGAGTGCAGTGGTGCAATCATAGCTTATTGGAGCCTTGACCTCCCAGACTCAGGTCATCCTCCCACCTCAGCCTCCTGAGTAACTGGGACGAAAAGCACATGCTACCATACCCTGCTAATTTATTTTTTGTATAGACGAGTCTCACCGTGTTGCCCAGGTCTTGAACTCCTGGCCTCAAGCAGTCCTCCCGCTTTAGCCTCCTAGAGTGCTGGGATTACTAGTGTGAGTCACCACACTCAGTTCCTAGGTCATTTTATATATCCATATCCTTGCCATGTCTTCATAGTAGGCAGAGTATACTTCCCTATCCCTTGATTTTGAGCTTGGCTTATGATTTGCTTTGGCCAATGGGATGTTAGAGAGACATGAGAATAAATTGTATTTATAGAACAAGAATGTTAAAAATTTAAAAAGCAAAATCTGCTGGGTGTGGAGACTCATGCCTATAATCCCTTCACTTTGGGAGGCCAAGGCAGGTGGATCACCTGAGGTCAAAAGTTCGAGACCAGCCTGGCCAACATGGCAAAACCCCATCTCTATTAAAAACACAAAAACTAGCCAGGCGTGGTGGTGCATGTCTATAGTCCCAGCTACTTGAGAAGTCTCTCTTGAGGATCACCTAAGGTCAGGAGTTCAGACCAGCCTGAGCAACATGGTAAAACCCTGTCTCTAGTAAAAATACAAAATTAGCCCAGCGTGGTGGCGCGTACCTGTAATCCCAGCTACTTGGGAGGCTGAGGCAGGAGAATCACTTGAACCCAGGAGGCAGAGGTTGCAGTAAGCCAAGATCGCGCTATTGGAATCCAATCTGGGTGACAAGAGCCAAACTCTGGCTCAAAAAAAAACTTGGAAATACTTTATGAAATTTATGTGTGAAATACACATAGGAAAAGTGAACAATTCTCCCAGAAAGTACAGAAAAAAAGACAAAATAGATGGAAAATAGAAAAGAAAATTTAAGGACCAGTTTAAGTGGTCCAACATCTGAATAATAGGAATTGCAGGAAGAGAGAAAACAGGGTGGGAAGTGACTCGTAAAATAGTTGATGATTGCAGCACATGAGCCACCGTATTAAAACTGTATGCTTGTGCCTAGCACTAGGGAAGAAAATAGACCTGCACCAGGCATGAAATTTCTGAACACTGAGTTTAGAGAAAAGATTTACAAGCTTCTGGATGGAAGGGTACCAGGTCACATATCAAGAATCAGAATGTCTTTGGACTTCATGGCAGTGGCATAGGAAACAAGAAGAGAGTTAGAACAGTGCTTTCAAAATTCTGAAGGAAAATGATTACTAACCTAGACTCCTATACCTAGCCAAACTATACAACAAGAGTAAATATAGAAAAAGGTGTTTTTTGTTTTTGTTTTTGTTTTGTTTTATTGATTTTTTGAGACGGAGTTTTGCTCTGTCGCCCAGGCTGGAGTACAGTGGCGCAACCTTAGCTCATTGCAACCTCTCCCTCCTGGATTTGGGCAGTTCTCCCACCTAGGCCTCCCAAGTAGCTGGGATTACAGGTGCCTGCCACCACCCCTGGCTAATTTTTGTATTTTTAATAGAGATAGGGTTTTACCATGTTGGCCAGTCTGGTCTCGAACTCCTGACTTCAACTGATCTGCCCACCTTGGCTTCCCAAAGTGCTGGGATTACAGGCGTGAACCACTGTGCCTGGCCAAAAAAAGTTTAAAAATTTTAAATGTCACATACTCCTTCTCAAGAAGCTACTGGCAGATGTGCTTCACCAAATTGAAAGACTAAATCAAGAAAGAGTAAGGCACAGATACAGCAAACAGGAGCCCAACACAGAAGACATAGCCTGAGAGGCCCATGGAGGATGGGGAGAAATTATTCTGGGGTGATGGCTTTGTACCAGATGTGCAGGGCGACTGAGCCATACTGAGCAGTGCAACCCAAGGGGCGCACTGTCTTCACCAAGACCCCACTTCCATCGGGCCATCTTTAGCCCAAGGACAGAATGCCCAGAGGAGTACTTGGCTTGGCCATGTGCTGATAAGGGGCTCCCCTGTCCTCTGTTGTGGACTCACATCACTCACAGAAGTTTGCAGCTTTCCCCCTGCTGAGAGCTGGAGACGGGCCATGGCAAGCTTAGAAACAGGATGTACAGGGCAGCCCCCTCCCTTTGACTGTATTTCCACTGCAGGTCCAGCGCTTGGTCCCACCTTGGCCCTGACAGATACCTGACTGTGCTGAGCCCTGTGTTTCCCAAGACTTCCTCAAGACCTTGCTCCTAACTTCCCCAGGAGGGGCCTTGACAGCTCCCAGAGAAGCAGAAGTCAGACCATGACCTGGAGACTGATCCACTCCTAGAACCTCCGTCCAGCGGAGGCAGGGCCACCCTCCTTGCACTGCCAGTGTGCACCTGCTCTCCGCTAGAATATTAATCATTTTTTATATTCATTTACATGTAGTTATAATAGTTGCTTAAATAGTGAAATAGTAAATAAAATTACCAAATGGTCTTCTGTAGATGTGGCCACGTGCTCTCATCTCCTGAAGATTCTTGCTCAGACTTCACATGCTTAACTCTGTGAGCCCTTTCCTGAGCATCTTACTCCAAATAAGTCATAAGTTCCACCAACTCCCTCTTTCTGTGATTTATTTTCTTGGGAGTACATCTCAGCTAGAATATAAGCTCCCGGAAGAACCTGTGGTTTTGTTTGTTTTCTTTTCTCTGCTATGTCCCCATGGCCCAGAAAGTGGCTGGCTCAGTCAGCTCTCAGTAGATTTTTTTTTTTTTAAAGATAGGGTCTCTGTCTCCCAGGCAGGAGTGCAGTAACCCCATCAAGGCTCACTGCAACCTCTGCTCCCCGGGCTCAAGCTGTTCTGCCTCAGCCTCCTGAGTAGCTGGGATTTCGGGCATGAGCCACCATGTCCGGCTAATTGTATGTTTTGTAGAGATGGGGTCTTGTCATGTTGCCCAGGCTGGTCTCAAACTCCTGAATGCAGCGATCTGCTTGCCTGGGCCTCCCAAAGTGCTGGGATTATAGGCCTGATGGCTCTTAGTAGATTCTTATTGGATAAATTGAGATGATGAGGAGGAGTTTGCTCGAAAGAGAAAAGTGGACAAGGATGATGATTTCCAGCAAGGAGGCAGCCAGCATGGAGGCACAAAGTGACTGCTGTATCGAGCCCTGTGTGCAATAAGGAACCTGCTGCTGAACCCAGGCAGCAGGTCCCGGGGTCGTCCATTATCTTCAGTGCCATCCTGAAAACTTATGTCGTTCCAGGCTACTTTCTGGTTTTTTTTGGAGACAGAGTCTTGCTCTGTTGCCCAAGCTGGAGTGCAGTGGCACCGTCTCAGCTCACTGCAACCTCTGCCTCCCAGGTTCAAGCAGTTCTCCTGTCTCAACTTCCCGAGTAGCTGGGACTACAGGCACACACCTGGCTAATTTTTTATTTTTAGTAGAGACAGGGTTTCATCATATTGGTGAGGCTGGTCTCAAATGCCTGACTTCAGGTGATTACCCATCTCAGCCTCCCAAAGTGCTGGGATTACAGGCATCAGTCACTGTGCCTGGCTGCCTACTTTCTACAGCTACACTGTCCATGAAGGTAGCCACCACCCAGGTCGGGCTCTTAAGCACTTGAAATGCACTTTGTTCAAATTGACTTGTGCTAAAAGTGTAAAATATACACTGGATTTCAAAAATTTAGTACCAAAAATTTTTTTGATACACTCATTTCAGTGGCTCTCTCCTGTAATCCCAACACTTTGGGAGGCCGAGGTGGGCAGATCACGAGGTCAAGAGATTGAGGCCATCTTGGCCAACATGGTGAAACCCCGTCTCTACTAAACATACAAAAATTAGCTGGGCGTGGTGGTGCACGCGTGTAGTCCCAGCTACTCGGGAGGCGGAGGTTGCAGTGAGCGGAGATCATGCCACTGCACTTCAGCCTGGTGACAGAGCGAGACTCTATATCAAAAAAAAAAGGAGGTATTGTGAGCACTGGCTAGTGCTCAGAGGAAGAAAGAACCAAGAAAAAGGGAGATGAATGGAACACAGAAAAGCGTGTGGATTGAATGAGGTCCTTGAGAAGTCTGGTGGGGGGTGGCAGAGAGAGCCCAGGCAGAGAGTCTGGCTGTGGAAAGGAAGGACACCACTCTCGCATGCACAAAGCCCCTCACCCAAATCAGAATTTTTCCATAAATGGGAAGATTGTGGTATGTATACTTTCAGGAGTTGTCATGATACAGCTTTTCATATAGAAGAGCCTGATTGTGTTTGTAGAATAACAGAGTTCTAGAGAATTTGAGAGAGGTCTAGTCTAATCAGCAAGTAATTATCTGCTATTCTCTAAGTTAGCTCAAGCCTGTTACTCCAAAATGACCCTCTGACCCTCTGGCTACCAACCAGTCTCTCTCCTCTACTTTTCTTAAATAACAGCTTTATTTATTTATTTCATTTTTTATTTCAATAGTTTTTGGGCCATAGGTGGTGTTTGGTAACATGGTTACATTCTTTAGTGGTGATTTCTGGGATTTTGGTGCACCTGTCACCCCAGCAGTGTACACTGTACCCAACATGTAGTCTTTTATCCCTCACTCCCCACTCCCCAGTCCCCAAAATTCATTATGTCATTCTTATGTCATTACATCCTCATGCTGTAGCTCCCACTTATAAGTGAGACCATACCATACTTAAATAACAGCTTTATTGAGATATAATTTACTTGCTATGCAATTTGTGCTTTTTTGGGAGAGGCGGGTAGCAACGGGGTTTTGCCATGTTCTCCGGGCTGTTCTTAAACTCCTGGCCTCAAGTGATCCACCCATCTTGGCCTCCCAAAGTGTTGGGATTACAGGCATGAGCCACTGCGCCCAGCCACAATTTTTCATTTAAAGTGTACACTTCAGTGTTTTTTTAGTATATTTACAGAGGCGTGCAACTGTCAGCACAATCAATTATAGGACATTTTTATCACCCCAGAAGAAATCATCACCTATCAGTCCCCCCACTGCCCTCCAACCCTAGGCGACCACTAGTTTATCTCTTTATCTCCCTTTTTAAACTAAACTTGGGGAATAACAGTCCATCCCGTTTCTACTACTCACCTCCCAGTTCTCAAGTCAAGTGTTTTTACTCCATCACTGCTCTGAAACTGCTCAGTCAATGTCATCCGTGACCCTCTAACTACCAGACCCAGTGGACATGTTAACCCTTTGATGCATTTAGCCTGCCTCTTCTTTGTGCTCTGTCTTTGGCATGGGCTCTTCATCTGCCTCTTGGCTGGATTCTCACTCTTCCTGACTGATTGGATCTGCTCATGGCTTCAGCTACATGCCATGCTGATGACTGTCTTTTCACAGAACTCATAGTCAGTATAATTCACTGCCTTTTGGACGTTACCTGGATGTCAGGTATTCATGGCTAAAACTGAACTCAACCTTCTATACCAAGGAAAACTCTGCTTTGCTTTGCTTTTTTTTCTACTTACCCATGTACTCAAATTAGAAACATCTTTCTCCCTCCTAATATAAGTTGGTCTCTAGTACATGATGAATTTTCTTCCACCCTAACTCTAAAATAATTTCTTTCTCATACTCACAATCAGGTCCTCATCTCCTTTTCATAGATTATTTCAGCAGTTTCCTACATGGTCACTGGCCATAGGGCCTCTCCTCCTGAGATCCATTCCCCATATAGTCATTATAGAGCACTTGTAAATACACAAATGTGACCTCATCTGCTAAGCCTATTAAAATGCTATTCAGCACTACAACACCAATAAGGATGCCCTTCTCACCCTCCTTCCCCCAGCCCCCATCCCTGTCCAGCCTGGCCCCAAATCTGAATCTGACCAAGCTTCTGACTACCAGTTCACAGGAAATACAAGGATTAGGAGAACTTGTAAAGAAATGGGGATACAGGCACGGTGACTCAGGCCTGTAATCCCAGCACTTTGGGAGGCCGGGGCAGGCGGATCACCTAAGGTTGGGAGTTCCAGACCAGCCTGACCAACATGGAGAAACCCTGTCTCTACTTATACAAAATTAGCCAGGCGTGGCGCACATGCCCGTAATCCCAGCTAATCAGGAGGCTGAGGCAAGAGAATCGCTTGAACCCAGGAGGCGGAGGTTGCAGTGAGCTGAGATCTCGCTATTGCACTCCCTTCTGGGAAACAAGAGGGAAACTCCGTCTCAAAAAAAAAAAAAATGGGGATACAAACAGCTAGCTATGGAAGTGGGAAATTCTACAGAAGTGAGGAAGCTTCTTAGACAAATAATTGTAAAAGGAGAAGAGAATTGTTACACATTGAGTCTTGAGAGTTTGTCAACCAAATGCATTGTGTTGGATCCTGATTTGAATAAACCCACTGTAAAAACAGGGTTTTTGTTTGGTTGGTTGGTTTTTTTTGTTGTTGTTGTTGTTGTTTTTGGACAGAGTCTTGCTCTGTTGCCCAGGCTCGAGTGCAGTGGCATGATCTTGACTCACTGCAGCCTCAGCCTCTCGAGTAGCTGGGATTACATGCGCACTCCACCTTCCTGGCTAATATTTGTATTTTTAGTAGAGACAGGGTTTCACCATATTGACCAGGCTGATCTTGAACTCCTGACCTCAAGTGATCCACCCACCTCGGCCTCCCAAAGTGCTGGGGTTACAGGCATGAGCCACCGTATCCAACCCAATTTGATATTTTTAATATCCAGTAATGATGTTATTACTTTTCAAAGAGCTTTTATATTTTAGAGATGAATATTGAAGTATTAGCT